GCCACCGCACTGACAGCGAGGCGGGTGGGGGGGGGTGGGGGGGGAGAAGGAGCGCGAGCACGGGGAAGGGGGAGAAAGGGGAGAGGGAAAGCGCGTGAGGTGGAGCCAGCGGGGAAAGGGGGGGAGTAGGCGGGCCCAGGTTCCAAAGAGGCGGTCCTGTGGGGCGCACGCGCCCGGCAGAAATGCATGTGAAGGGGCGTGGCCAACCCCCCTCCCCCGGCGGAAGGCGGGGCCTCAGGGAGGTCGGGCGAACGGAGGCTGCACGAGGAGGAGCCGAAGAAGAACGCGGGCGAGTTCTCGGCGCGAAGAGGACCCTCCAAGTGTGGCGTCCAGGCGGCGTCAATCGAGCGCCGAGATCAACGCCTCTGTCCTCGCTCTTTCTGTTCTGCTGCTTTTCCGCCTCCTTCGTTCGATCCGATTGGGTTACGACGAGGAGAGCAGGGGAGGTCCTGGTGTACCAGTGCGGGGGAATCCTTTTCCAATTTTTCCCCCTCCCCTCCAGAAAATGATTGAGTCTCTCTCCTGTCTACAAAGTGTCATTGCCTCGTTCCATATTTTGAAACGGAAGGAACACCAACAAAGCTCATCCGTCCCGGCGTTGGCTGGAACACGCTGATATTTCACTGCATGCACCTGCACTGCACCCACACATGCATCAGTCACCATTTTTATATCCACACGTAACTGACTGCATCACGCTGCACTGGCACATATTACACACTGCATTCATACGTGCAAGGCACGGCACGCACACCTGCTGGAATTGACGGCCACATTCTCGCCCTCAAAATTCATTGCTTTTTTTCACACTGAAGCGACGTTTACTGCTTTGCATTGCGTGCACGACACCTATGCCAAGTGGCTGAGTTTATTGGCATATCAAGGCGTAGAAAAGCTGTGAAATGGAAGACAAATGCAGTGTTCAGGTATTTCTCATAGTGAAATGCAAACCACGAAAGCTTTGCTCATTTAATTTGCTTGTCACTGTCACCACATGGAAACAAGCTGCAATGTATTATCCTGCATTCCATTCACATCCACTGTATTGCATAACCCTGCATCACTCTGCAGGTTCACACACCTGCATTGCTTGTAAATACATACAGCAATAACACATGACTCTACTGTGCCGGATGTCATGTTCTGTGCATGTACACAGGCCTAGCAACCACATATCAAGTCCACAGCACTTCAGAATTTGTGACATTTTAAAATTAAAAATGGACCTATGGTCAAAACTAGCCTAGACCATTTCCTTGCAATAAACAAAAATGTTCTACTGCACAAACACCTGCATATTTTGATCCACATACATTCTTTGTGCAAGCATTTTGCAGAACCTTTAGCTGTGCGCTTTTGGCAAATTTGGTGATGTTTTACACCCATCTGCCAGTATCTGCACAGCGTTTTAATGGCTAGAAAGGGGGAAATAGTTAACTAGATAATGCAGAGGTGATTGTTATGTTAATCATAAATTATAAGAGCCTAGAATCTTCTGAAAGCAAGTTTTACCTTGTTTCTTTGGAATTTTATCTCACTCTGTTCCAAGAGCTGAGGGCAAATTGCAACATATTTAGAGCAAAAGCTAAAAATAAAACATGCAAATCAAAGGTTTTTAAAATCCAGGTTAAAGCCTCAAGCAGCATAAAGAACTTACTCATGCTCAAGAGAATTCAAATTCTTTAAAAGTCACTCAAAGTGTCTTACCATCGTTTCCAGGCAGGGACTCCATAACTGTGGAACAGTCAACAAAGCACATCTATTTACAACAGGAATGAGGAATATGTGGCCTTCCAGCTGTTGTCAGACTGCAGCTCCCACCAGCCATAATCAGAATAGCCAATAGTGAGGAAGTTGTAGTCTGGCAACATCTGGAGGGTAACGTGGTTCTCCAACTTTGCTTTGTATGGCCTCATTATCTAAAACCGACATTTACAGCCTAATATTTTGCATATTTAATTGAAATGTTATCTTCACTATGGCTTGTTTGCCATAATCCCAAGTAACTGTATGTTGGTTTTTAAGTTTCATTTATTTGTTTAAATGAGTTTATCTTCTGCTATTTACAGGGTGTTAAGGTAAAGAAACAAAAAAACATTGATATTGAAGATTAATGCAAGAACCCTGTTCTTTGGTATTGTTTAATGCAAGAATCTAAAGGGCTTCCTGGCCAGTCTCACAGAGTATGATGGCAGTGAAATTATAGGGCAATTGCATAAATTCCTTGCAGATTCAAATTAAAAAGAAAAAGCACTTGAACTTTCCCCAGAAAGGCATTTTAGTCTAATAGTGATTTTAAAATATTGCTTCCTGATGTCAATGTTGATGATTATCTTAAATCATAAAATAATAAGTAATATTAAATTTATAAACCTCTTTTCACTGCAAATTAGTGTTCAATGTAGTTTACAATCTTTGTAAAACCATAAAAACAAGTCAAACAAATGCGAGCTACAGTAATTAAAATAAAACCAACACTACCATTAATAACATTATAATCAATCAAGTGCACCATTAAACATTATATTCCAGTTTTTAAAAATGTGTTTCTACAGCCATTTTCAAAGCAGCAACAGTGGAAGCTGATCATAACTCTAAAGGAAGTGCATTGCACAGTATGAGAGAGTCATGCGGGAGAGAAGAAAAGCCTTCTTTGTGTGTGTGTCTGTTAAGTAGGTTCCTGCAATTGTTTCTGTAACTCCCCTGCTACAACAGCTCCTCTGGCTGCCAATTCATTTCTGGGCACAATTCAGAGTGCTGCCTTTAACCTATAAAGCCCTAAATGGCTTGGGTCCAAGTTATCTTAAGTACCACTTCTCCCTCTATGAACCTGCCTGGCCATTAAAGATCATCAGAAGAAGCTTTTCTCTTGGCCCTACCACAATCACAAGCGCATTTGGTGAGGACACGGGAGAGGGACCTCTCTGTCACTGCACCCAGACTCTGGAATGCCCCCCCACAGGAACCCCATCTTTGCTGTCCTTCCCAAGCAGACAAAGACTTCTCTTCAGACAGCCTTTTTCTTAGTGATCGGCCGTCAGAGAGCTTATTTTCAAATTGAATTGTTGTGTTCTGTTGTTTTTAAATGTGTTTTTAGTATTGATTTTGTTTACAGTTTAACATGGTACTTGTTTAATTCTTTTTAAATATTGTAAATATTAAAGATTCACTGCAAGATAGGCAGTCCCTAAGATAGTTAAATCCTAGGTCATCTAGAGCTTTAGAGGTTAAAACCAACAGCAGCAGCATTATAACATAATTGTTGATATGTATCTAGTTAATAATTGCTGTTACACAGCACCCAACAGTAATAAAGTACAGTAGTGGCACTGTTTTGCACTTCCTGGGCTGTTGTATTGGTTTTATACTGCTGTCATAACTGAGAAATGGGATGAGAATGTTTAACGGACTCAGCTGCATCATTGATCCTCTTGGCATCCCACGTGATAACTGTTTCCTACCAGGCAACAGCCACCTAGTAAAATCCACCTGGTCATTTTGTATTTGTTTCAGATAATATAATTACTGTTTTAGACAATGTGATTACCTCTGAGCACATCAATATAACGTTCTTGTGCCTGGGTTTTAAGGAGATGCTTTATTTATGGAATAAATATCACCCATTTATTCTACATATCCTATTAACCACCACCCAGATATGAACAGTATGCAGTATCATAATCTGCTTTTTAGAAGTAAAAATGGCTTGATATATGAAGTAGGGGTGTTTAAGAAAACAAATCCTAACAGCTCTGATAGGTGCACAGTGCTAGTCATGGATTACTTTGGATCATAATTTAATGTGGTAATTTTATATACGGTACTTCTCATTTCTACTAGAGTCAGTATAACTGGAATAAGAAAACAGTTCATTGAGCGGTAAAATAAGCACAAATTCAGATAGAAGACCTTAAGTACAAATAAAAGCATTGCTTAGCAACAACACTTTCACCAACCACTTAACATTATTTATTTGCAACTCTTTTTTAGCAGATAACTTGATTTACCTGTTATATGATCATACTAAATCTTTCTTCAAATATTTGGTTAGTTTATTCTAAGCCACATTGCTTAAAGCTTAACCTGTTATTGTAAAACAGCATGTCTCAAAACTGGGTTTTCTCTTTGATTTATTTGTAGTAGAGTTTTGAATTTCTCGTGAAATTCATCTAGCTGCACAGCAGAAGTGCAGGGATTCACAGAGCAGAATAGCTTCAAGTTCCCCAGAATAGTCCACCCCTTTTATTATTAATTGACACTTGCAGTCTCAGTAACTTACTCTGAGACATTATTAATACAAAGAATAAAAATTGTTTAATGTCTTACAGATCAACAGCAAACTGACAAACATTACTGCTTTCAGCAACAGACCTCAATAGAATTAAGAGAGGAAAAAGAGATACAGAGCAAAGAGGCAGGGCTTTCTGAATTCAGATGCAGGAGGGAACAATTAGTTGGTGCTTGATAGATTGAGCGTCACCTTAGCCCACAAAGTTTCCTCCCAGCTACACCTCAAGGCAGTATGTGAGGTTTAAAAACTCCAACATTATTCCTCAATTCAGACATTGCTCTATTTCAGAAATATGGGCTTTGGGATTTCAAGCAATTAATTGTGCATCATCATGACCTGCTGAGGGAGGCTGACACCTTCTATACCAGCAGCCACCTTCTATACCAGCAGCCACAGTACTGTATCATCCTGGGGAGGCTCTCCGAGCTGGGAATCAGTGGTCTGGCGCTTGCCTGGCTCTGATCCTTGTTGGAGGACCGTCTTCAGAGAGTACAGCTTGGGGAGAGTGGTTTCGGCCCCGTGGAGCCACAATTGTAGGGTTCCACAGGGCTTGATTATCTCCCCAATGCTGTTTAATATCTACATGAGGATGCTGGGTGGAGTCATCAGGGGGTGTGGGGCTTCGTGCCATCAGTACACTGATGACACCCAGCTCTACATCTCCTTTTCTCCAACCACAGTAGATGCCATCCTGTCCCTTCAGCGCTGCCTGGAGGCTGTACTGCGATGGATGCAGGAGAATGGGCTGAGGCTGAACATGGACAAGACGGAGGTCCTGAGGGTGGGTGGCCCCTACATTGGTGGTTTGGGAAACTCTGGTCCATGCACTTGTAGTCTCAAGATTAGACTACTGTAATGCACTCTATGTGGGGCTACCTTTGAGAATGATGCGGAAGCTTCAAATGGTGCAGAATGCGGCGGCGGCCAGACTTCCAAGTGGGACAAGAAAATATCAGCATATTTTCCCCACTCTGGCTGCGTTGCATTGGCTGCCCATTCATTTCTGCATTGATTTCAAAGTGTTAATGATGGTGTTAATGATGACATACAAAGCCCTAAATGGTTTAGGATCTCGATATCTAGCAGAATGCCTCCTCCCACCTACATCTACCCAAATCACTCATTCTAGCCAGGAAGGGCAGCTGAGGGACCTAACGCCGAGGGAGGCCCGGAGAGAAAGAACAAGAAACCGGGCCTTCTCGGCAGTGGCCCCTTGCTTTTGGAACAGTCTGCCCCCAGAGATCTGTCTGGCTCCCTTGCCGGGTGCTTTTAAGAGGAAACTGAAGACCTTGCTCTTTAGGCAGGCTTTCCCTCCAGTCATCACTTGAATATTCCCCCCCGCCCATCTTGAAAAATATTACCATCATTTTTTATTTTATTATATTGTTTTTATTTTATTATTGTTAGGCCGGGGTATATAAATAAATAAATAAATAAATGTTCTGCACTCTGTGCTGATCTCTGAAGATGCCGGCCACAGAGACTGGCGAAACGGTAGGAAGAACAACCTTCAGAACACGGCCAAAGAGCCTGAAAAACCCGCAACAACCATTGAACTGAAACCTTCCTTGTTAATACACAAGAGGAAAAAACATGGATATTTGCGTTACATTAATGGGATTTAAATTGCAATCCTGTGTCAATTTACCTGGGAGTAGACCATATAGAAATCAATGACTTCTGAATAGACATATACAGAGTTGTCTAATGCTGAAGATTAAAGTGTTGTGTATGTAGCAGAAATGCTTCAAAAATAAATTCTCTGAAAATTATCTGAGGCAAATACTTAAGAAGATTTAAAACATCTGTCTACTATTAATCTCCTAATTCAGTATTTTATATTCTTCTAATGTTTTGCAGTAATTCCTGCTATTTTAAAACATGCTATCTATTGAAGATAGTCTGTTTGGCTGGCTGAGAGGGTCAATAATAGGATACAGGATTTGATTTTTGTTTCATTGGTGTGAAGCCAAATGAAGTCACAGTACTAGCTGTCTCAGTGGATCATTTATAGAATTCTATCTCTTTTATCAAAGTGAGGGAAAGGGACTAATTGGCTCAATAGACCAGTAACGCATCAAGAACATTTGTTTCCTTCATTGCTGTACATTCAGGAAGTTCATGTAACTGTCATACAATAAAAAAAAGTAATAGCATATTCGCCTTTCACTGCTCAGTAACATTTAACCTGTTAATACTTATTAAATTAATTGTTATCTAACTATTTTCTTTGAAAATAAAATGCCCGAATTAGGTTGTTCATTTTTAAGCATTTGTTAATAAAAAGGAAAAATTTGCTGCAGAGCCCCCTTTTTTGAAACTACCTTTAAGAGAAAGAGCACACGACCAATTAACATGAGACATGATGTGTAATTAGCATACCTGCTCTTTATAATTTAAGCTGCAGTAGAGTGCACACTTACTAGGAAGCAACTCTGACTGAACTCAGGCTGGAA